TCTACACAGCATTGGCATCCGATTTCTCAAAGCAATGAATAAAATTATAAGAAGTAAAACCATACAGAATAATACAAAATTAGTTTTTAATGCACAACTTAATGAGTGTGCTTGTTTGCCAACAAAACCCTTGACAATGACAAATGACTAATTGTACTGTAGCTGGTTTCACAGTGAATTAACCCAGAAACCACCAATTTTTAATTACAGGAACTTCTAGCATGGAATAAATTGTGACAGATGCAAGAGATAACTAATAGAAAGAGCTATAAGTCATCAAAGAGTTGGTGTTGAATTCTTAAACAAAGATTTGTGAACGTTTCCTCTCTGGCCCCTTAACAGTTATATGATAGACATCTGCTTAAGCTGGTAGTAGATGATCGTGAACAAGTCAAGGGATCACTGTTCATTGATAGTTAAAGGGAAACTATGGGGTAAAAATTACATTCTATTTTAATGCATTGTATAGATAATACATTTAAAATATAATGCAAGAAGAGATAACTAGAAAAGCTACAATTTCTGGAGAAATTGTGTGAAGTGTTCTTGCCTCCACCAGTAGTCTACAACTGGAGTGGGTGGAGTAACTGTTATTATTTATATAGCTAATTTAATTGCAACGTTGTTGCCCAAAGTGCTTCACAGTTACATTAAAACATACATTTATAAAAACATTAGCAGGTGTACAAAAGGCCCTCTCTATGACATCACTTGCTGTTCCAGCCTAGCACAGGTCAGAGTATTTTGGCGGTTGCCATCTTCTAACGGTCGTATTTTACAAACTATAAATCCTACAGCTTTATATTGTGAGAATCACAAAACCCAGACCTACATTTTGATGCATAGTATGTCTCTGAAGTATTAAAAATGAAGGCACAGTCGCAGTTTAGAAATTGCCCTTCATATTTAAGCTGGCTGGAGTGGAGTTTCAATGAATGTCAATGGACAGCGTGAGTTGCAAACAAATGGTCATATTGTGAAATCTATCAGGACTATGGCTTAGCCGTGGACATTTTTAGTGGCAGCAGGGATAGCTGAATGTTTTGATATAAGATTTGTGTAGGTGGGCTTGAAAATGAGGGAGTGGTGGCAGTTTAGAAATCGTGTCCTGAATTTTCAGCTTTTGCCAGCTCCCACTCTAGTTTTGAACATTTTGCCATTCATTCCTATGGGATCAATTTCGCCACAAGAACGACGATATTCCGTGAACCATTCGGCGAAACGTTCCACAAAGTAATAGCAATCCGATTGGAACAATCCGCACGTTTCGGTATATTACTGTCTATGTAGTGTAAAAACTGTGGGAGGAGTTAGGGTGGTAAATTTGGCTAGAATAAGAATAAGAATAATATATATGTGAGATAACATTAAGTGGTCTTGCTATGCAAGTAAGGCAAGTAAGTGTTAAGGCAAGTAAGTGACTGTAACAAAACTGAGTGGAAACTAGGGATGTCCATGGGCAAAAAATTTGGTTCGGTTCGGAATAATTCGACACTTCGGTTTGGTTCGGCACTTCCAAAATTTGGGACTTCGGCATTTCGGAGCTTCGGCAACTCAGAACTTTGCCAATTCTAAACATCTGTAGAGCTCCCTAACCATACCACTAACCTTAACCCTACCCCATTGGCGGATCCAGGGGGGGGGGGGCAACGGGGCAATTGCCCCCCCCGAGAAATCCGCCGGTCTCCCTCCCCTGCCAGCCGTGCAATGTGCCTGCGGACCGGGGAGGAAGATCAGAGATCTCCCTCCCCCGTCCGCAGGCACTGTGCTGACAGCCGGCGGCGGAGGGAGAGGGAGGACCCGGAGCTCAGGCTGCGGCTCCTCCGGGTCCTC